TGATATTTTATCACATATTTTAACACATTAATTATATAAGTTATATAAATATATATTATATATAAATATATATACATGTATATATTATATATAAATTAAATTATATATATATATATATATAAATTATAAACGATTAATTTTGCAAAAGTCTCTCAATTTATATAAACTAATCTTTTTTAATTATTAAATAAAGCAATTTTAATATTCTGATATTTCAAAAGAATTCATTATTTGTAATAAAAAATATATTATGTATATCTTCTTTTAATCTTTAGTTTTTATTCGATAAATATCGAATAATTATTTATTTTCGTTCGTTTCCAAATCCAACGAATTACCGATCTCTCTTCGAAAGAATATTGACGAACGCAACGATCAATGGAACCAAGATATTTAGAGATAAAATATAGCACATTTAAAAAATAATACGCGATCAATTAACCGACTGTAAAAAAGTCGGATAACGATAAGGATCGTCGGTCTATCCTCCCTTGCGTCGACGGGATTCTTTCTTTGGTAGGGCATCTTCGCACTAAGGAATAGGACTAGAGGTGATTCTTTCCACGCTGCTCTCCCTAATGCGTATCGTGGTATAGGTCGCGTTCGCGTCGATGCTCGACGGACTGCCGGCGTTCTGCTGAGCGATCGCCTGGGCGGTCGACGACACGGAGATCGGCGCCGGCGTCTCGAGGCCGCCTGCCGAGGTCAACCCCGCGGCCGCCGCCGCGGCCGTCGTCGTCGTCCCGACGCCGCCGTGCCAGCCGTGGCGGTTCTTCAAGTGGCGCTTCATGTGCGTGGTGCGGCTGAGCACTTTGTGGCACACCGGGCACTGGGTTGTACCCTTGTGCATATTCATGTGTTTATACATCGAGTCCCGATTCCAAAACGATTTACCGCAGAGTTTGCACGAGTGCGACGGATGTTCGATGACCACCGTGTGTGAATCTAAATCAGACACAAACGTTCATGCTACGTCGTGGCCGAGCATCGCGGGCCCGGGTACCGGATACGCGCGAGCCGGACCCCTCCGCCTTTCGCTCTCTCGGAGGGCCCTGGATTTTCTGTCCGCGCTGTCGATTATTATTGATTTTTGTACTCGAGTATTCTCTTACGATTCGCAAACGTGACATTTCTCGTTTTGCATTTAAATTCCATGCGGCTAATAAAACTTTATATGTTAAAAGGATCCTACTTATAAACAAGTATTAAATGCAAATAATTTTTTTATCTGTACATTTGGTAGATATATAAGATATATATTTACCGAGATTAATTAAAACGGAAACGAATTTTTCTCGCAGCACTTTATCAATTTTACACTCTTTTCCGTTTTATTTTAAATCCATCGATTAAAAATTCAATTGTGACGCTGCGAGTACAAAGGTATCTTCGACAATTAAAGAAAGAATAGAAGAAACATTGAGACAAATCGCATATCAGTAGCAAGCTATCCGTACACTCGGAAAAATTTCGCGTCTCACTTTCGTTTCTCTATCTACTTTTCCACTCGCTCACTCGGTTCTCTCGGAAGAGAATAACAGCAATAGCAATGACAAAAAAA